TCGCACACTGTCTATTATATTATAATACTCTTATAATTGTAGATATTAAATAAAGTAAATTAATATTTATTTTATTCGTAAAATGTTTCACCGTAGGCCAAAACATGGTTTTAAAGGTCAAAAGATATGATTATAATATGGAGATTATACTGTAGGTATTTTATTTTTAAGTTTATTTTTGAAATGAGATGTTATCAAATGATTATATCTTAATTTTATTTATTAATATCGGTTCCATGGTGTAATGGTTAGCACTCTGGACTTTGAATCCAGCGATCCGAGTTCAAATCTCGGTGGGACCTGTATCGTTTTTGTTTTTAAAATAAATTAGTTATCAAATTTACCGATATAGAAATGTTATAAAAACCAATTTTATAAAATAGAAAGAAAAATTTAATTTATACTATAATTTAAATATCTAACAGAGACACAAGAAACTGATGCGGCATACCTGATATCAATAAAATAATAAGAAGAGCAGCAGGATTCTTATGCATAAACGCCTATACGCTGCACAGCGTATGACACCAGAAGAAGAAGTTAGTTAAACTTAATCGATTCCAATTAGACATATAACTGTCTTGTTATATTGGAACCTGTCTTGGCTGGTGTGGAAATGTCGAGAAGAACTGGATAAACGCATAAAATTTAATAGTGTCACACTGGTATGGATGCCAGGTCATCGGCTAATATAAGGTAATGAAAGATCTGATTACCTTTTCAGAAGTGGATCAGCTATAAAATACTTCGGTCTAGAGCCAGCTAAGAGTACCAAGAAATAACACCTGCGACCAGAAAAGACCTGGATCTGAATGGAAGATAGAATGAAAGAATGGAGGATAAAGCAATGTGCAAATAAGGGGGTCCAGTAACACCTCCATAGATACTCTTGGTGTGCCGCTTAGATCCTCTATGATTACAAGGCAAAAAAAAAGTTGCACCTTGCTTAGCTTGAGGAGCTTGCACCTTATTTAACTTGGCTTCTTTTGCCGCACCTTTGGTCACCATTTAAACCGTTCAGAGATACCGGACCTAATCCGCCTAAAACTATTACCTTTCATAATCATAAAGCCCTACACTTAAGCCTTTTTCCTGCTAAATTATATCTCTGCCTGCCATTAAATTTACTGTTGGCTAAGACGATTAGGTCTTTTGCATAGTCCAGAACATTATGTTTGTCTTTTTTGAGTGGAACTGTCAGCTCACATATGACCAGATTTCAGGAGAAATAAGAGACAGTCTCCTCATGTAGACATGTTTTGGGACTTATCCTTTAGTGGCTACTAACATGGCTTCTCAGCATATAGTGTGTCTATCTGCAGCTTGTTTTGTGCAGAAAGTTCTTTTTTGTAGAAATATTGGATAAATCCCGTCCAGACTTAAATGAGTTTATTGCTCATTTAATCTTTTGAAGATCTGCCAGTTCTATAGCCAAGCGCCAGTTTTCCCTAAAACTATAAGTTATGGTCTGCAGTCCAGTCTGCTGCCACGTTTAAAGCTTCTGTACTCGACGCTCTGATGATTCCTGTTAGGATGAAATACGTATAAGCCAATATACAGAGATACTATAGGTAAAATCAAATATTAACTGTCTTTATTTTATTTCGATATACTCTTTATAAGTAATAGAAACCAATTTGCAAAGGATTTTTGCTTGGATAAGAAGATATATTGTGGAACGCAATATTTAGTTTCTCCATATCTCTGTTCCATCTTTTAGCATCGTCTATTTTGCCTTGCAATTCTTCGAAGGAACAGATTAAAGCAAAAATCTGAATTTTCGTTTAGTGAATAGAAATCTTTGGATTTCTACTTTCGCGATTAATTTTTAATATTTTGATTTTAATTTCTTGTTCCCTAATATCTTTCATGATTTACCTTTCTCTCTCTTCTTTGTCCAATCTTCTAAAATGAAAAAATGATGTTATCGGTCATTCTCTTTATTTAAAAGTTCTAGTTTTATGAAACTGTGTATTGAGTTTTCTTTTGATAATGGAAAGGGCTGTAGGTATTATAAAACCGGGTGTGACACTAAAGTGGACTTTAGTCTAAAGTGAACATTAGTTAAGATTTAGTTTAGGTTTTCATTATAAAATTGGGCTTTAATTCTTATTCTGAACACTTTTCCTTTTAAAATAATTTTATAATACAGTGTGGGATTTTTAGAGTCATCAGTTCACGAATTGTATTAAAGTGCGACAAAAAGAGGTATTAGAAAAACATTTTAAGTAAAACTTTTGTATTTTTAATTTGGAAGCGATTACTAAATCAGCACATATTAAATATGGCCTTTTATGAAATAGTAGTCATAGTAAACACTTGGAAGTTTGGAAAAGTCCATTTACGTGACGAGAAGTGACCATTATACAACAAGTAACCTTTTTCACGTACAATTTTATTAAAATCTATAAATATAATAAATAAATAATAAAATTACTTTATCTAATCTTAAAAATATTGTTTAAAGTTAAAAAATACAGAAAGATAGTATAAATCTTCGCGGTAGTCTACAGTTTCGATTACTCTACAACTTTTTTTACAGTAGAACGATTTACGGTAATGGCAATAGTGACTTAATCTTTTGGCAAAATCAAAGTTTCTTCTGATTCTGTCCCTTAATTTGTGAGGTCAATATTCCACCCAGGCACTTTTCTGTTGAAATTACTTACTATCTCCAGACAATTGCCTTCAAATCCATGTCTAGGTTTAGTGCATGCATTATCGCCTCTTTTTTTCTCTCTATATATTATTTTAGCATATTTAGTCTACTTAGTATGCTTCCTAGTGTGTTTTATGAAAGTTCTGATAAGTTTCTCTAATAGGGAAATTATTACCTGTGTTTTCAAAACAGATGTGTCGATGGTCTGATCAAGACCTTATTTGAAATATGCCATTTGAAAAATAATATAAATTATTAGATAAAGCGTATGTTGATCTTATCTTCTGAGAATTATCTTCTTCATATTCCTCTCTCTATGATCGACATTTATTCCGTAGTAAAATTCCTGGAACATAAACCTATGATTCTTGTATGAAAGAGGATCTCCGCTGGGGGTTCGCCTTAATTACTAGTCTGTAATACGTCTTGAAATGAACAGTCCTCACTGCTTAGTAGAAGTCCTTGTTTGTTATTTTGTTTGCTTAGATGGTTCCTGATAATTTTCTCACTAGTTTATTTCTGGAGGAGGCGGATGAGAGCAATCTAGTGCTTAGAAATATTATTGAAATTAATTGGGTCAACATTACTCCCTCCCACAGAACTTCCATAGCCCTCACTAGAGCAATAATTATTTCTTGGTATGCTCTGGTAATTATAGTTCCGATAGAAGCATGAATTACTGCTTGTTTTAGTTAATTGATGGTCAGGTTTACTAAAGTCTAATCTAGTTAAGTATCGGGATGGTATTTATATACTACCGCTATCTAGAATACTTTTGTGACATCGTTTTATGCGCTGGTTTACTCGTTAGGGTTCCTAGGTTTTTAGCGAATGTTTGTTATAAAAGGTTCATGGTATTTTTTCGAATTCACTGTTTACCCTCGGATTTTACCACTTTTGCCGCTTTAGTTTGGTATGAATTTTCTGTGGTCTAAATCCCAGTTTTGGCCCTTTTCTGATCTTCTCTGATTAGCTCCATATCGGCTCCATAATTGACTTGAAATCTGTTCTTTCCTTGCTTAATATTTAGGGCAAATACAGAGTCTACGACCGAAGTCTCCTTCCTGATTTCCGCAACCTTTCTGATCGTTTTTACAGACTTTTGTTTCTAAACTCAAAAGAGTAACTTGTTTCTGAGCCATTTTTAATTCTAGACATCCTTATTCCCACAAGCTGGGACGAAATACCTTTAAGCACGCCTGTGTGACTCTATCATGTTAAGGTTATGACCCTCCACAGTTCGCCAGCTCTCTGAGGCATCGCTTATGGTAACTTTTTTCTACTGTACCATAAATCTGCTGGGAACGTTTACATTAGTTTTTTTTTAATATTTGGAACTCTATATTTGAGTAGTCTGTTGAAAACCTGATTTTAGCTCTGACTTATTTCTTGTCTTGTTTTTTAAGTGTTAGTTTCATCTGAAGTTTGACTTATTTTCTCAAAAGTGAAACTATATTTATTATGTTAAATTTGGCAATATCTACAAAAAAGTTATGGCGTTTGGAGGTAAAAGTCTCATAAGAACAAAATTAGTAATTGACATCTAGTAATCTACAGTTATCTGGGATGTATTAAACAAATTTCATTAAGCACACTTAGGGTCATGTAGGCGAACTCTCAGTTTAGACAGGTTATATGTAAGACAGTTAGTAAGACAGGTTGCTGCTCCTCTTGCTACGAAAAGCTTCGACGTCGCTTTTAAGAGCCCTAATTGGGTAAATGTTCAATAAGATAATTGGCTGCAGTTTGACCTTTATACAATAGACGGTTTCCAAGAAAAAGCCTACATACTTTAGTTTTAGTGTAATTTCTTGTCATGATCGTCTTCCTGTGTACGTTGTTAGCTTTGTGTAAACGGTGGTAGTGCATATGTGATGGTTTTGGCAGTAATTACTTTATACAGTTAGAAAGACTCTGTAATCATCTGATATGCGTTACATATAGTATTGACTCTAGTGCTGATGGTAATATGGCAAGCCTGTTGTCCATGTTTTCTAGAATGTCTACAGAAATTCCAAATTCAATTTATAGACTGAGCAGAGCTGAGTTTTCACCTGAAACCCATAAAGTGGGATATGCTCGGTCAACAGATTCTTTAGCAGTCGAGTCGTCTTGAATTTACTTAAAATTTGGAATTGGAACAGTGTTATATTTAAAAAGTTATAACTCTTCAAAAAAATATTTCGTCTAGTTTTGTAGAAGTACTGTATCACATGTAATGTTTTGGCATTATTTTTTATACTCTACGAAAACAAAACAAAGCTGTTGGGTTTTCATAAACTTTATTGTATAAAAATAAAAACTCTTAAAATAAATATGTCAGTAGATAATACTCCTCCCATTAACAAATTTTTTCCATGTCTAACCATAGGCCGCCCTCAGGCGTAGGTATAAATGCAGGCGTCAATTTGAGTGGCATCTGCATTTTCTTGCTTATACTTAGTCTATAGTTCCTTAAAACTGTCATGATACCTATTTTTACTTGGATGATGCCAAACCTCATACCTAAAAAAAATTTATTATTTAGTATTTATAGTATTACAAATTTAATGCGTAATCCCTATGTTAAATATATCACAAATTTATACTAAAATAAAAATAGAAACTTTTAAATGATCCAGTAATGTTACACAATAAACATTGTTGTTTAATATTGTGCAGTAATATTTAGTTTTAGCAGTAGTATTCACTTATTTATCTTTTTTTTTTCAAATTCAAATATAACAAAAATATTTGGAATGATTAAAAAACCGAGTACTATAGACTTAAATATATCATAGAAAGCTATGTACAAGAACAGTCTAATTAAAAGTGTAAGAACAAATTGACGGAGTCACATAAGATAAAAAAAATTACACTACATCTATGCATTGGGATCTTTAAAAGATAAATAAAAGGTGTTAAACATTTTTGGAAACATACTATGTGGGTCCTGAGGGGGAGGGGGTTTAACCCAAACCCCCTGGGTGTGCCACTGTATGTAAGATCAAGTAAGTAAGATGTACGGCAGTGAACTGCAGCCGGTGAAAGTGTGCTCTTAAGCGGCCAAGAGTGGCTCAATGTGTCGAAAAGGTTATAGGTATTGGATTTTGACAAGAGCTATGACCTTGTAAATAAGCTTGTGTACTGAATCGGCATGACTCAAAGCTCTTGTCAAAATCCATTACTTCTATCCTACTGTATTTGCAAAGGCAAATTCTGAATACCCAAAAAAGTTAAAGAGACCTTCTATAACACCATTCAGACTAATGATAACATATGAAGCAGAATCGTGGTCGCGTACGTAGAATGTTGCTCATTCTAACTTCTAACAGAACTTCTAAACATATCGAGTGAGAAGCCCTAAGAAGAATATATGAAGAAATAAAATAGCAAGGATTGTGGCACAGGTATTAGAACTTTGACTTGTATAGAAATTTTGGGAAAAATTAAGTAAAGCTCGTTAAGGTAGCACGCCTTAGATGGATAACAAAGGAAAAGCAGATAGTGCAACAGAAAAGTTTTTGACCACAAAGAGCCGATGAAACAACTTGTCAGAGCACGACCGAAACTCAGATATAAGGACAACTTAGAGAATGATTTAATATCTACAGGAGTGATAGCATGGAGAAGAGACAGGGGATGAATGGTGGGTTGTTCTAATGATGATGAAAGGCCTAATTTAATTAATTATCTCTATCTACCTTTCTATCATTATTGAACAAATTGAAGTAGGAAATCAGTAAGACATGACCCCATATGCCGCAAAAAAGTGTCTCCAAGACAATGCATTGGCTCACAAGTTCATTAGGTTTAGAGGTTTAGAAGTTTCTAATTTAGATTATTCCATATTTTTGTCCATATGCCCCATTATTTAATAAATATCAACCTACCTAAACATAACCTCGGGCCTTCTCCAAAAGGAACATAAGTGTATGGAATAATATTCTTTCTGTTTTCTTCTGAAAATCGCTCTGGATCGAATACCTCTGGATCAGCATAATATTCCTCATCATAGTGAATACCTATCGTAGGTATGATGACTCTTGTGCCCTTTTCAACTACTTGGTTTGTCTCAGGTATCTGGTAATCTTGCGAGCACTCTCTGGTGAGGAACGGAATTGGTGGATATTTCCTTAACGTTTCTGAAAAGATAAAAAAATATTTATGTTAAGTATATCTTTAGAAACTTAAGATCGTATAAATATCAGATACTTTTCAGTTTACCATATTTCTAATAAAACTAATTTTCTGATAAGTGAGGTCATTGAAATGTTTCTGAAGGATATTTAATATTTCTTATGCAAATTAATTGTCTATTTATGTTTCTCTTTTAAGGGTCGTTAACCTTGTAAGAATTGGGAATGTACAGTTTGTATACAGTTATTAATAAGTTTAGAAATTATAAATATAAAATAAAATGTTTATATACCTACTAACTGAAAATACTGATACATTTTTGTACACACTTATGACAAAAGATAAGAGAAGAAAAGTATTTTTGAATTGTGTAAATAATTTTAATTCCTAACTGGGCTCAAAAAGCCATCTTCAGAGCTATGGTCAAATCTTTAAGTATCACTACTAGAAGAGATCATTATTTGGTAATAAAATTACAGAAAAAACTGGTTATCGTACAGTTAAAACACAATAATAATTGCTTATCTGACGTTCTACTAAATATTGAACAATGAACTAAACACTACATGCATGCCGCTGCATTTTTGCTCTTTCTTTTAATGTAGGTTTACGGAAAGTGGCGCTGTGAATAATATTCAAACTAAATTAGATGATTTGAAGGAATTAATTTTTGGGATTAACTTCCATTCGTTACGCAAACGTTTTTGCACTAAATAATTGATTAAGGGTTTAAGTCTAGATATAGCATGCTTTTGACGAATTCTTAATTTGCAGTTGCCAGCGTATTATGTATCAAGAGCATAATATGTATTTGGTTAGTAAAAGTCTAAACATGAGGAACAGTACACAACAAAAGAGGACACGTTACATTAACGTTTACCACATCAGGAGTCGGCAAGATAAACTGAGCCATCAATGACGAAATATTGTTGGTTATTGCAAGGGCTATTGTTACTTAGCTCATTACGAATGGTAGAACAACAGTAACAGATGAAGTGGCAGGTCCAGCTGAATGAATTGGATTGTGGGATGAGGTGAGTAAGAATGGGTTGTTTTGAGGGGCCTGTGATGTTAGAAATGGTGGGACGAGGTTGTAAGAAAATTATTTTATTTTCGTATATTAGTGGAGAAAGTATGGACTTATTTGGAGGTAGGATAATTTTCAAATAATCGGCAGGTACACCTTCTTCACCTTCTGCATAAGGTGTTGCAATTGATAACAGGTCTAAAGGTTTTGGTGTTGGAATTTTATTTAAATATAAGAAAGTAGAAGTAGATATATTCTGAATCTAAATAGAGGCAGCATGGGGTATATTTTGAGCATTTGAAAGTTTAAGTTGAGCATTATCTTAAACCTCTATAAGAGTTGGAGGAGGTATATTTAAGAATTCCACTCTCATACCACAAGAAGGCGTTACTGGAGTTAAATTTGCAATAACTAATGGAGGCAAATTGGCAGTTGACAGAATTGGAACAGAGACTAAAATATTTTGTGTAGGCAGCGCTTGACTTAAAAGCAAAGTATGGGATCCTTGCACTCTTTGTGGGGGAGAAATATTAAGAAGCACGGGCGATGCAGATATTAAAGTTTTAGTAATGGCATTTTAATCTGAAATGGTTTGAAAATTGACTGCTTGTACTGGTAGCACATTTTTTAATAGAAGCTGTCTATTATTATCTTGAGTACTAGTGTTATTTAGTTTTTAAGTTTGTGAGGCTCTTTTGTCTGAGCTTGAACTAAACAAAGTACTTATAGTTATTTTTTCACCTGTTTGAACTGATTGAGGAAGGAAATATCAGTAAAAATGTGTTTTTGACTTCTTTTTGTCCATTTATATTCAAATAAATACTTTTATAAATGTGTTTACTGATAGTATTCCCTTTAAAATTTTTATAAACTTTAGATGCCTGATTAGCTTTTTAGTTTTTTGTGTGTTATTTTAAAACTGTCTATATATTTAAGGGTGGGGTTAAAATTATATAGGAATTATTACTCAGAGTGGAATTAAGTCATGGTTTTTAATATTGAGGTTGAGAATTATAAGAATTAATACAGCGAAAAATATAACATTTTTTTTCGCATGTAAAAAATTGAACACATTTTTGTGTATGTTTTTTTTTTATTTAAAGTAAATGGTGCTTCCTGTCTCTTTATAAGCATATTTTATTTAGCGTAAAGTATAAATTTTAAAAAACAAATTAAAACAAAAGAAAATATCGAAAAATTTATTTTTGGGAAAAAAATGTATTTTTTGTTTGTGGAATCTATTAAAAATACATAAAAAAACGTAAACTAATATATGCAGATGGAATTTTTTTAAAGATAATATTTAAAATAAAAATAATGATGATTATCAACCATGACGACAATATCTATATGACTAGCAATTTATGAATGTTATTAAAAGTTTACCAATACATACCATCGATGCATTGACCCATATATTTCAGATCGTAGAGGGATTCGTAGGTGATTTCTCCATTGTGATTGTTAAGTACTTCTTCTATTTCTTCCCTGACTCTTTCTTGGATGTCAGGATTGGCTGCCATCTCGTATAAAACCCATGACATCGTGGTGGCGCTAGTCTCGTAGCCTGCTACAAAAAACACGAAACTTTGGGCCACTATTTCGTCCATTGTGATAGCTGTCTCTTCGTTTACTGAAAAATTATTTGATTAGTATTATTATTAGTAAACTTTTCCTTAAAAAAGTCGTCAAGCAACGCGAATCAGGCTTTTTTAGTGTTGTTTTTATTTGCCCGGTTCTTTTGACCATTTTTGGTCTGTATAACTTTTGCTTAGTTTGCTCTGACATTGTGTCCCATTTATAAACTTTTTCTCTAAAGGTGTTTTTCTCTGTTTTTCTGTCTGTTTTCTTTATATTTTTACTTTTGAGGTCTTTTCGAATTTCAATTAACCAGTGTGTTGCTAGTTACTTTATTATTGTAACTCAGATTCCACCTTTAAAGTTTGTCAGCACGCGATTGCCATATTTTAAACGGAAACACAATCTCGGATTGAGAAATTTGTGACAAGTTACGACAGAACTGTAATTTAAATTTTTAATATTATGTCTATGGTTACCGTAAATTAATTAAACCGAGTTAATTTGTATATGCATACCAGATAAAATTTTACTGAACAATACTGGTTCCGTTTAAATCATGGCTGATTCCGTCTGCACTGACGAGATGCGCATACTTATTTTGACAAGAAGAGTGGACATTCTGATTGTTTTATTATTCTGTGTCATGAGCATGTGTTTATAATATTCAATTATAAACAGTTGGTAGAAAATAAAGGGATACAAATCGCAGGAAAGATAAAGGGAAAAAATGAGTCAAGAAACAGAAAATTAAAGACACAAAGAGAACTTCAGATCAAAAACGCTTCGAACCTACATGTACTACCACAGCTTAATAAAGATGTTAATAAAGCAGTGAGACATGACTTAAGATCACATAACACCACACAGATTACAACGAGGAAAATAGAAGTTTCAGAGTACTAAAGGGAAGTGAAGCTCCAGATAAGAAGAATATTGTTCCAGCTAGTAGATCAAAGTCGACAAATAATAATAGACAAAGAGAAGATAATTAAGATACTTAGTTAAAGAATTTTACATTTTTACAATTACATTTTATATACAGAAAAGGGAAACATTGGAAAAGTCTTAAAGTCGTTAAATCAAATGAGAAGCAATAAATCATTTGATGATTAAATCTTTACTGAGACAATTAAAGCAGGAGACAAGACATTAATAAAAGCGTTAATACAATTATATAATTCATGTCTTTCAAAAGAAGTTATACCATCTCAATGAAATAAATCTGTTGTAGTAGTGAGCATGCACAGAAAAGGGGATATAACAGAGCTGAATTGTAGATCCATTGTTGATCCAACATTTATAAATTAATTATGAAGATAACTACTAACAGGTTGACACCTAAACTAGACCTCTATCACCCATATCAGCAAGCAGGACGTAGAGTTGGATACAGAACAAATGTTTATTATTTATAAACCATACAATTATTTAAAAACAATCAATTACTTTATTTAAAAAACCATTAAATATAATAGACCCTGATACTTGTTTTGAGGTCAACCAAAGTGAAATACTTCATATTCTAACGAAATGTAGGACTTATACATATCCCTAATCAAATACATCTATGAGCACTGTACAGCCTGCGCACTGAAAAACTCGTTCGGCAAGGAGAATGTCTGCTAAGTTATTTACAACTTTGATCGAATTGACCTGTAAAACAATAAATTGGAACGAGAAGAGCACCAGTATAGATGGAAAATTATTAAATAATCTCAAATTTGCATTGGATATCGTTTTGATTGCAGATAGCTTTGAACAGGCACAGATAATGCCCCAAAAGCTCCATACTCTCGAAAAAGAGTGGGTCTTAAAATAATATTTTTAAAACCATATTTTATGACAAATTTAGCCCACAGCAAAAATAGTTTCGGTTAAAAGCAAAGACATCGAGCTAATTAACTCCTTTAAGTATTTGGGCCATGGTATCAAAATACGAGAAGAATAAACCTAGCTTGCGCTATATTTGGAAAGATAAAGGATATTTTTAGGTCAAAGATTTTAATGTCTCTGACAAGAAAAGCTTTTAATCGGTGCATTCTGCCAGAAATGATCTCTAGATAACAAATCATAACACACGCAAGATGCGCAGTGGCGCACCCAGGGGGGGTTTTGGCGGTTAACTCCCAGGACCCTATTCCGACACTGTTATTTACAAATTTTATGGACTTAAAATGGTGGAGGTAGCTTAAAAAAAATTCGGTGCCCAACCAAAACCCCCCAGAGTAAAATTCTAGGTGCGCTAGGTCTCACATTCAAATATAATCTGGGAGTAGTAAACAATTTCGAATATTTATGTAGATTTTCCCCCTTCTCAGACTTTGTCCTTTATTTCAGTCTACATTGGGGTTTCAGTTATAGTTTAAAGGACAGATCAAATATTTTAACTTCCTTACTTATCCATTTTTTCTCCAGCTACGTAGACATATTTTTCAATTTCGTTTTTTTTTGACTGTAAACATTATTCTTGAGACTTCTTAATATGCATGTATCTATTTAAAAGGTTCCCTTGCCAGATTAGCATAATCTAGAATAGTAGATTTAATGTTGTAACATATTTATTACTCAGTTTAATTTCGTTCTTAGACGTTGACGTTACTTCCTTAAACGTCCTACATACAAGTTGATCGAATCGCTTTCTGCACTGAATGATAAAAATTTAATAAGTATTTAAGTATGCAACAACAAATATACTTAGATACGAAGTACTAATATCAAACACAATTAAGAAAAAAACAATAAAAATAATTTTAAACTTACGTTTTCCGCCTGATTCTGGATCGTTCTTAATATTGATCAGTCCTTGTAAGAAATCATTACGATCTACTTTACTATTTTCCCTATACGTAACAGTATCAACCACAACTTTCGTGAAAAAATCCTTAATAGTCTTCGGGATCCAAGTCAATCTGATAGCACTAGCTAATTTTGGAAAATTAATTGCAACAGCAAATCTGACGTCATCCGTAAGGGTTCTGTTTACGATTCTATTGGCCATCTGTTTGAAGGGATTGTCGTCTTCGAAACTGTTGCAGTCTATTCCAAATGCGCATGAACCTATTACGCTGATGGTGAAACTACCTGAATAAAAATATTATTGATTATGTTTTTGAATATGTTCAGCAAATAACCATATTTTAAGAAACTGCATATTGATATATTGATTAAAAATATAAACACCTGCGTAACTGATAAGTACTAGAAAACGGTTAGACCAAAACTCGGATAGGTAGAAGGAGCGACATGAGATGCTGGGAAGATTGGTGGTTTTACCTGAAAACCCTAAACCCAGAACGGTATTATGCAAACAATTTAAGAAAATTGTCACTGATGATAATGATGTTTTAGTTGATATAATAGTTATAAGGGTAATGACATTTTAGAGCTTCACTTATATAGAGACTAGGTAAATACCGTAGAGACGATAGCATGTATTATTATTTTTTTAAATACTTCTAAAAATTGGTTACATTTTTTGTCACTGTCTTTGTTACTTATTGTAAACAGTTAGTGACCAATAAGTTACTGAGATAACTCAAAAGGAACCAGAGAAGACTTAAATCTAGAGCTAAAAGTAAATGTTAAAATATAATTTATTTAAAATGTGAATTTCTGGAATGTTTAAAATATGTAAGATGGATGGAATACTAAATTTTGAATCATTCGTGGTCGAAGATTCCAATAGCTATGATAAGAAGGAAACGTTGAAATGTAATAGATCAAATACAACTGATATTTCGTCGACTTTTTTTCCTGATCGCAGATATCATGGAGTACCAACTCAATCTTACGCAAATGTGTGACTTATATATACCATGACTAGTCGCCAGCTAGAAATGACGGTTAGTTAGAACAAAGCATGTTACTGACTTATTTAAGTTTAAATCAATGAAACCGTTTATTTTCACTTAACTCTAGAAGATTTGCCCATGTCCAGCCAGATTTGGGCTATCGTAGGAGTCATAATCTAAGATGAATCAAATCATCTTGCATTTCTTAATAATAATCATTCTTATACTATTTTGATAGGAATTAACAACTTACCCATAAATTGTTTAAGATCAACTGGCTCATCTGCATTAATCCTTGTCCTTAAACAATTCTCTAACATTTTCCCACAAGAAATAACAGTGTGAAACATTGATTTTAACTTGCCAGATGAAAAATTGGGTGTAAATTTACTTCTTAGGCTCTTCCATTTTTTTCCACCAAGTGCAAATAAATGAGCTCCTAAAACAAAAAAAAACGTCAATTTAATTTTAAACTTGTAAAACACAATATAAAATGTTCTAATTTTCTGTATATTCCTAAAGATTCGTCTTAATTTCATTTTAATCTCGCAACAAGCGAAAACAAACAAAAAGGTAATGAATTGTAATTCCTTTTTATTTTTTTGTAATTACATAAATATTTCTTTGCTCAGTTTTGCCATTCTTTTACTTGGGTTATTTTTTTTTTTTTTTTTGTTAAACATATATTCTTTCTTTACTTCTTTAATAATTTTGATGATTTCTTTCTAGGCATACTAGGTAAGTGCGATAAGTACTTAGTCTACACAAAAAACGAAAATTTTGACTTATTTCTCAACATACTCTACTTTTAGCTCGATACGGTTAACCCACCAAAGTTCCAACTTCTTTAACCCGTTTAAAAAATACGTTTTTTGAAGATGTGCAAAGTAGGTTTTCCTAGCAACGAAGACTTCCTGAAATTTCGGTTTAAATTTCTGCCCGGCGAGAGCCGTTTTCAAGTTCGAAAACAAACAGAAGTTACACGGGGCTAAATCTAGAGAATATGGTAGAATGGGGTAACAGTTCATAGCCCAATCCGATTAATCTCGTCATGGCGACGGCACGGCAGAAGCATGAGCCAGTGCGTTGTTATGGTAGAAGAGCACTTTTTTTTCGATAAATGGAGTCGTTTTATGCAGTTTGGCATAGAATCGGCCCAATAACTTGGTATAGTAAAGCTCTGTGACAGTTTTGCCCTTCTTTAGGTATTCGACGTAGATCACCAATTGTGAATCCCAGAAAATGGTGGCCACCACTTTTTCGGCCGATAGAACAGTCTTCGCCTCTTTTGAAGCACGTTTGCTGAGCTGTATACTGTTTCCGCTGTTCCTTGGTGTTTGATATGTACCAGTGAATTTATGATATGTACCAGTGTACTTTGATATGTACTAGTGAATTTATGATTCGTCGATGGTTACAAAACGACGTAGTATTTCCTTCGGGTTACGCCTAAATAGTGTCGAACACTGCTCTGAAATAGTCTCACGGTTAAGCATATTGTCCGGAGTGAGCAAACGCGGAAATAATTACGCCGACAGCTTCCTTACACCCAAAATTTCACGCACGATATAATATAAGTGATCATTTGAGATGCCTACTGCCTCAGCTACCTTGCTTACCTTTAGTCGGCAATCTGCCAATACGAGATCGCGAATTTTTGTCACGTAGTTCTCAGCGGTAGCCAATTTCGGAGGACCTAGTATCTAGGCATGACTCATCAAAACCGATTTTTCTAAAATCAGCGAACACGCCCACTTTCACACGTGGTCAAAAAAAGGACGAGACCGAATCGGCTAAAATTTGGACATTAGCCATCTACGAGAATGTGTTACACAATAGTAGATTTCTTTTGGAATAGTGGCGCCATCGAGCGGTTAGGCCAAGTACTTATCGGACCAACTACGTATGTTGAATAATGCTATGTTTAAGTGTGAAGCATTTTTTAGCGTTTAAACTTTAAATACCCAACGGTATATCAAAAATAAAAAACATTATACAGAGAAATATCTGTATTTGAATACCCTATTTCTCAACACTTTGTCGCCAACTTCCTTACCATCTTTACTTTAGAAAAAAACAGATATTACGTTGACCTGAAAGCTTTATTTAAAGAAACAAATAAAAAACAAATATGGTACTCACCTATAGGTTCATCCTTTTCATTGATATATATTCCTCGAGCATTAAAGTAGTTGAAATCCTTGGCTAAAACCCGTTTTATAAGATCATTATCTACTGGCATATAAATTGGAGATGTTGCCGCATAAAGTCCAATGTGCTTATGTCCTGAAATAATATAATTATTATAGTTCATACATATCTAGAAGAAAGGCAGATTGCCAATTTAAGATCCTATTTTACAATATTATGTTACACCATACAGTTAGCCTACAGTGCAACATGGGTTACTACTACTCTCTATACTACTCGTGTCAGTCCGAAAAGCCTCCCAGAAAGTATCAAACACTTTAAACCTTAGTGAAAATCTTTATAAGATTGTATAAATACCAAGTCTGCTTACGACTACGTCCAAAAAAAATTGGATCAAAAAATTTTGGGCGATACTTCACCATACCAGGTTACGTAGGGCTCAATATCACAAAAAGTTCTTTCCAGATCTTAATCGTTTTGATAACCAAGGCATCTAGTGTGAGTAAATTTTCTCTTAAGAAGAAATGAGATTTGCATAGCTTAAATAATTTTCATATTTTTGACCTAACTTGTTAGTTACCCTGGAGCCAAGCGTCTGTAGACCTATCAGACTATCTGCAAAAGTGAGTCATCTGCGTATCTTATGTTGTTCAGTAGTTCTCCAGTTGTTAGTTTTTCTCCGTCTATATCAGTTAGCGCAAGGTTTATGATGTGTTGGGAATATATATATATTGAATATTATTGGGGGGGACAGTATACATCCCTGTCGCACATCTGTTTTTATCTTTGTACCATCTGTTAAATTATCCCCAACGGATAATCTTATATGTAATAATTGTTTTAGTCTTGCTACTGTACTTAATTTAATATTCTATAGATTAGTCTTTATTTTAGGTTATTAATTAAATATTGTATTTCCTTCAGATTAAAGTCTCAAAGAATTAGTGTGACGTTACACCAATATGGTTTATTAATTCCTGTCATCTAGTTTGATAGTTATCGGTAGTTTATAAATAATTAATTAATTGCGTATTTGATATCAAATTCTTCTGTGCAACTATAACCTACGTATGAAACTTCGTATTTAAGACTAAAATTAAAGATGATGTACAAAAAATTTAAAATTGAGGTAGAAAGTATCATATTATGGACATATTTATTTAAAATTTGAGTTCGTTTTGTGATATTTACTTTTGGTAAAAAAAATATAAAAATACACTCTTAAATTTCTGTTTTTTTAGTTCTAATATTTTTAATGGTTTTTTAACATTATTTCCAACTTGATTGACATCAAAATATTAAGCATTGATTTAATTTAGCCTTATCACTTCTAATTTTAATTCGTAATCTATATATATCTTGTATAAATTAAAGAAATTAAAGTTCAAGTAGCAATAACTTGAGAAAATGTTAAGAAGCTTACCTAAAGCAGAAAATATTCGTGTTAGATATGCAAATTAAACTTTTTTGTTAAGTATTAAGGAAATTTTACTATCGTCATCATAATGTATAAATTAATAACCCAGAGCTCATGATATGTCATTAATTATGCCATAGAAAATTAAGAAAGGACAACAAACAAAATTAGTGGAAGACGTAAGATTTTATATTAAATGGATACAATTCATTGATGCAGCCAGAAAGACTTCTGTAAAATAACATAAAATAATATCTAAGATAATAACCACAAGGAACAGCGTGAACCAGAGAGAAGAAACCCAAATAAATATCCAAGTATAACGGATCCACAAGAAGTTTGGAATTTAAAAATACAAAAAAAAAAGAGTTAATAAAAGGTCAGAAAATACTAACTTGTAAGACCGCAAACAGTGCGAGTCTTGTGTAAAAGTTTTATTAAAAAAAAATCCTTTATAAAAGCTATAGGTATATATTTAAAAAACAGACCCTTTCTAGCTACATCATAGAATAATTTCGTATGATTATTCGATGTGAATTGGATATCATTCACTTGTCCTTTGACTGCTAGAATAATTCGGTAAGTTGGAAAAAACTTAATGGAAAAACTATGTATACCAACATGATAAAAAGACGTAAACAAATCCCTAAGTAAAATTAGTAGTAATCATGAATTTATAATCAAATTCGGACCTATACTGTAACCAACTCCTTTGTTACTCATTAATTAAAATTTATATACTCAATAAGGCAAAATGGTATTATAAATTATGCTTAAAACTATTAATTTGTGGTCTTTTTTAATACAATTTGATTTTTAATCCACGCCGTTTCCTTTAAATTCCCTTTGTTCGTAGATTAATTTCCCTTTCCAAAATTGTTACTTCTTGAACGATGGAAATGATCCCAATTGAACACGTGACTGAATCCCAGTCAAAATTAAATCTTTACGTTTGTCTTCATTAAAGTGATAATACTTATTCTAGGTAACAGCACTGATGATGGACTTGTTAGTCCAAAAACGTTCTGTATATTTAAGTCAAGGTCAAATGTATTTTCAAGTTTTTTTGCATTTTATAGTACCTATTCAAATCAACTTTTAAGATGTTACTGACTGAAAATAATTATGATGAATAAAATTCTTCTGTCAAAATATTTGATGGTAATTTTAAATACCGTATTAAGTAATATATTCAGTGTCTAAACATGAGTTCAGTTTAATTACTGTACTTCGAATTGTAGAATACGAATATCTCAGATAAGGATAAAAACTTCGAAAACAAAAAAAATAAAAGATAATTGAACTGAAATGTCAATCGTGAAAATAAAATAAATCAACTATAGTAGGGGTGGCCAAACTGCGGCTCGCTTCAAAGGATTATTTGTGGGTACCTGACAGTGGGTAACAGTAATCGAACGACACCAGAACGATTTATATCACTCTTGCTAGGGATACAATTTGTGAACTGAAATTTTTAACTAAAACTGGAAGTTAACAATGATTTGTTTTGTAGTCGACAAACAAAATACAAACAAAGAAATAGAATGAAATAGATGAAAGAAATGATGATGATTATTAATTATAATATTAATAGAAGTAGAAGTTTCCTAAAATAAGTAAAAATACAGTAACAAAAAATTAATAATCCAAGGTTAAGAGACAGCCAGACATCTTAAAAAGATTTTAAAAATTTAACCCTGGATAAAAGATGTAGTTCGTGTTATCAATCAAAACCCAGTCAGTACTTAAATCTTTCAACAAGGACGAATTTATTGATAAAAATTTTTATTGAGATGATATTAATAATTCATTTCGCTCATAACATTATTTTTATTTAACAACAGTATATTTGTATGATTTTATCTATCACGCCTCTAAAAAAGCTTTAATAAATTCTTAAATTTAAGTTTATTTGAATATCACTTTTTTGTTTGATAAAAAACAAATTAAACATTTCTTTCTTGCCACCAATTTTCTTTTTGTAAATAATAATTAATGGTTTTGACAATAAAAAACCTTTTCCGCAAATCGCCAGGAAATTTTGACATTCCTGTCAAAATTTCTTGAAGAAAAAGTCAGGACTTCCTTACTGTAAGGAAATGTCATTTCCTTACTGTAAGGAAATGATATTTCCGTACAGTTGTTAGTGTTCTACATAAAGTTTGACAATTCAACCTCAATACGTTTCCATAGTACCTAACCCAAGTAATTTTATTAGGAATTTCAAAGCACCATTTATTTGGGAATAAAATTATCGCGTTTTTTTTAAATCAATCAATATCTGTCGAATTTTAAACGATTTGCGGAAAAATAGTATGTTTACCTCGTAGGAAAAGCCACATTCCTGGACTCTGTGTTGCTAAGTCTCGGCTTGCGCCTCGACTTAGCAATCTTCACAGTCGTCCAGGAATGTTAAGCTTTTCCTACCCGGTAAACAATGTACTATTATTATCTTTGATAAAAGCTTTGTATTACTAGCAAGTATTGGGGAAAATTAAAAAATATGTGGATGTCATCTTTGTCGAAATTATTTTCGAATATTAAAAATGTTTAGAATATCTAAAGATAATTATTATTCTGAAGGTGAATTACAATGAAACCCTATTTATGGAAAAAAAATATAGTCAACTTTTTGGCAGAGCTTCACTCTGTTTCATAAAACATAAAAGTTGACCTATAAATCTATTCTAAATGAGTCACTTATACCTAAATAAGAAAAAGTAGAAGAATTTATGTAGCATTTAACAATAATTGCATTAAATCATTATATGTATATCCTTTGAATTCTGTTAATTTATTATTCTACTAGAATTACCCAAAATTGATAATATCAGAAGCGAAAGATTTAACTTTTGATCATCAATTTGAATTCGGGCAAGACCATATTGTGTTACTGAAGAAATTAGTATATCTTTAAACGAAATGGAAATTTACGACTGCCTTCCTCAGTATATCCAAAACGTCCGACACACTCTGATACCTAAAAAAAATCAAAGAGAGTGAACACCACACCTTAAGATAAATTCAGACGTTCCCCAGACAATATCACAGTATATTGCTTAAAAAGAAATTCTTTTTAAGCAATATACTGATTGCAGTGAATTATTCGATCTCATAATATGTCAACGAATAACAGTTGCCTTATGCCGACAACTGTGTAATGCTAAAATCTCATAAAGTCCCAAACACGGGAAAACTGGCAGACATCTTTCGTTGAAAAAAAAAATAATCATGAGAAATGGAATGTATATTCATTAAAAACTTTGCATTTATAAATATTAATCTAAAAACGACTATAAAATTTTAAAAATGAGCTTTTGTTTTTATTGATATAGTTTCATTTTTTTAATAAACTACTTGTAAATATTTTTTTGTTTAAATATTGACTAATAGTACCGACGTATGCTTATATATTTATAAGCAGAACTGGATACTTAAATAAAGATACAAAACCTACAATAGTATAATACACTACAAAACTACCAGCTTCTGCACGCATATCATGCATGGAAAGATTTTAGGAAAGCCTAGCGTTGGAAGGCGACGAATACCATCGCTGCGCAAACTCAGAGAGTCGTTTAGTTGCTCGTCTTGTATATTTTTAGCTGTCTTAAATTTAACACTTCTGACGATTGTGTATTAAAATTATAATAAATTTTGTCTGGGTTAGAATATGCATACTTTCCCATCATCTCGAGCAGTGGTCGTCCTAAACTAC